TCATTAGTGTTTATTGCTACAGGTTATTACACATGACTCATTAGTGTTTATTACTACAGGTTATTACACATGACTCATTAGTGTTTATTTTTACAGGTTATTATGGCTCAGTGTTTATTACTATAGGTTATTACACATGACTCATTAATGTTTATTATTACAGGTTATTACACATGACTCATTAGTGTTTATTACTACAGGTTATTACACATGACTCATTAATGTTTATTACTACAGGTTATTACACATGACTCATTAATGTTTATTACTACAGGTTATTACACATGACTCATTAGTGTTAATTTTACAGGTTATTATGACTCAGTGTTTATTACTATAGGTTATTACATACTGTATAACTCATTAGTGTTTATTTTTACAGGTTATTACATATAACTCATTAGTGTTTGTTTTTTACATGTTATTACATATAACTCATTAGTGTTTATTACTATATGTTATTATACATGACTCAATAGTGTTTACTATTACAGGTTTAGAATCATTACTCCAGTCAGGCCCTGGTTGGGACAGTTACTGACATCTAGTGGTCAAGTTTCATAGCACAGCTGAGGTTAAAACAACAAACTTCATCATGATGGTGATGAGGATGGACAATTCACAACCTTCATATATAACTCTAGAATAATCCCAGATGAGAACCTATCTGATCTCATTTATCCACTTAAAGTTTCTGGAGCTTGTTTATTGTGGAATACTGAAGTGTTCATATTGAAAGAATTAAGTAAACTGTTTTGAAACGAGGTCTATGTGAACAAAAACCATATAATGTGACATCACTGTCCTGGTCCCTCAGGACTGAGCTGCAGACGGTCAGAGACTCCATCAGTAAGCAGGTCTCTGCAGTCCTACAGCTGTACGAGCAGAACTCAGACTCTCTGGACCTGTCTGTGATGACAGAGCGATGTGCCGCCGCCCCGTCCCTCGCCGACATGCTGGAGTGGCTTCAGGATGCCGAGCGCTTCTACAGACAACAGTATCCTTCCTCTCACCTGTGGCTCTGGCTCGTAGTGTTGGGCTGGGGGGTGTTTTCCTCAACTCAGGGTCAGGTTCCTGCAGAGGAAGACTCTGCTGCAGACCCTGAGGCTGGACCACCTCCACCTGCTGGAGTCTGCTCCCAGAAGATGGAAGTCTCTGGATTGTCCTGGTTCAGACCAACAGATCACAGGTCAGACCCCCAGATCAGACAGCTGACCTGCTCCTCCTCCTCCTGCTCCTCCTCTTGCTCCTCGGGGACTGAAAGCAGAAAATCTCTGAAGATCTTCTCAGTTTCCAGGAGCAGAACTCTGATGGACTCTTGTGTTTTGTTGCAGATACTCTATGCAGACTGGCCTTCTTCATGGAGTCTCAGTACCCGGGTCCAACCTGAACCGGTCCTGACTTCTGACCCACATGGACCTCTGCAGGAGGACCAGGTTCTGACCCACATGGACGTCTGCAGGAGGACCAGGTTCTGACCCACATGGACCTCTGCAGGAGGACCAGGTTTACCCAGGAGATAAACAAGCCTCAAATCTTTTCCTGGATGGAAACCTTCTGCACCAATCAGATGAACTGGAAGATTTTCACACACACACACACACACACACACACACACACACACACACACACACACACACACACACACACACACA